GGAGGAAAAAGGGTGTAGCTTGCTAGCCGAAGAACACCATCCCAACTGTGAAGCGCGGGGGTGGCAGCATCATGCTGTGGGGGTACTTTGCTGCAGGAGGGACTGGTGCACTTCACAAAATTGATGGCATCATGAGGAAGGAAAATTATGTGGATACATTGAAGCAACATATCAAGACATCAGTCAGGAAGTTAGTCTGGTCGTAAATGGGTATTCCAAATGGACAATGACCCCAAGCATACTTCCAAAGTTGTGGCAAAATGGCTTAAGGACAACAAAGTCAAGGTATTGGAATGGCCATCACAAAGGCCTGACCTCAATCTTATAGGAAATGTGTGGGCAGAACTGAAAAAGCGTGTGCGAGCAAGGAGGCCTACAAACCTGACTTAGTTACACCAGATCTGTCAGGAGGAATGGGCCAAAATTCACCCAACTTATTGTGGGAAGGTTGTGGAAGGCTACCCGAAATGTTTGACCCAAGTTAAACAATTTAAAGGCAATGCTACCAAATACTAATTGAGTGTATGTAAACTTCTGACCCACTGGGAATGTGATGAAAGAAATAAAAGCTCTCACTACTATTATTCTGACATTTCACATTCTTAAAATAAAGTGGTGATCCTAACCAACCTAAGACAGGGAATTTAAACTAGGATTAAATGTCAGGAATTGTGAAAAACTGAGTTTAAATGTATTTGGCTATTTTTTATTTTATTTCTCCTTTATTTAACCAGGTAAGCCAGTTGAGAACAAGTTCTCATTTACAACTGCTACCTGGCCAAAGATAAAGCAAAGCAGTGCGATAAAAACAACAACAGAGTTACATATGGGGTAAAACAAAACATAAAGTCAAAAATACAACAGAAAATATATATACAGTGTGTGCAAATGTAGCAAGTTATGGAGGTAAGGCAATAAATAGGCTATAGTGCAAAATAATTACAATTAGTATTAACACTGGAATGATAGATGTGCAAGAGATTATGTGCAAATAGAGATACTGGGGTGCAAATGAGCAAAATAAATAACAATATGGGGATGAGGTAGTTGGGTGGGCTAATTTCAGATGGGCTGTGTACAGGTGCAGTGATCGGTAAGGTGCTCTGACAACTGATGCTTAAAGTTAGTGAGGGAGATAAGTGTCTCCAGCTTCAGAGATTTTTGAAATTCGTTCCAGTCATTGGCAGCAGAGAACTGGAAGGAATGGCGGCCAAAGGAGGTGTTGGCTTTGGGGATGACCAGTGAGATATACCTGCTGGAGTGCATACTACGGGTGGGTGTTGCTATGGTGACCAATGAGCTAAGATAGGGCAGGGATTTGCCTAGCAGTGATTTATAGATGGCCTGGAGCCAGTGGGTTTGGCGACAAATATGTAGTGAGGACCAGCCAACAAGAGCGTACAGGTCACAGTGGTGGGTAGTATATGGGGCTTTGGTGACAAAACGGATGGCACTGTGATAGACTACATCCAATTTGCTGAGTAGAGTGTTGGAGGCTATTTTGTAAATGACATCGCCGAAGTCAAGGATCGGTAGGATAGTCAGTTTTACGAGGGCATGTTTAGCAGCATGAGTGAAGGAGGCTTTGTTGCGAAATAGGAAGCCGATTCTAGATTTAACTTTGGATTGGAGATTCTTAATGTGAGTTTGGAAGGAGAGTTTACAGTCTAACCAGACACCTAGGTATTTGTAGTTGTCCACATACTCTAGGTCAGACCCGTCGAGAGTAGAGATTCTAGTCGGGTGGGCGGGTGCCAGCAGCGTTCGATTGAAGAGCATGCATTTAGTTTTACTAGTATTTAAGAGCAGTTGGAAGCTACTGAAGGAGTGTTGTATGGCATTGAAGCTCGTTTGGAGGTTTGTTAACACAGTGTCCAATGAAGGGCCAGATGTATACAAAATGGTGTCGTCTGCGTAGAGGTGGATCTGAGAGTCACCAGCAGCAAGAGCGACATCATTGATATACACAGAGAAAAGAGTCGGCCCAAGAATTGAACCCTGTGGCACCCCCATAGAGACTGCCATAGGTCCAGACAACAGGCCCTCCGATTTGACACATTGAACTCTACCTGAGAAGTAGTTGGTGAACCAGGCGAGGCAGTCATTTGAGAAACCAAGGCTATTTAGTCTGCCAATAAGAATGTGGTGGTTGACAGAGTTGAAAGCCTTGGCCAGGTCGATGAAGACGGCTGCACAGTACAGTCTATTATCGATCGCGGTTATAATATCGTTTAGGACCTTGAGCGTGGCTGAGGAGCACCCATGACCAGCTCGGAAACCGGATTGCATAGCGGAGAAGGTACGGTGGGATTCGAAATGGTCGGTGATCTGTTTGTTAACTTGGCTTTCAAAAATGTTTGAAAGGCAGGGCAGGATGGATATAGGTCTGTAATAGTTTGGATCTAGAGTGTCACCCCCTTTGAAGAGGGGGATGACCGCGGCAGCTTTCCAATCTCTGGGGATCTCAGACGTTACGAAAGAGAGGTTGAACAGGCTAGTAATAGGGGTTGCTAGTTTTAGAAAGAAAGGGTCCAGATTGTCTAGCCCAGATGATTTCTAAGGGTCCAGATTTTGCAGCTCTTTCAGAACATCAGCTGTCTGAATTTGTGTGAAGGAGAAGTGGGGGGGGGGGGGGGGGCATGGGCAAGTTGCAGCGGAGGGTGCAGAGCTGGTGGCCGGGGTAGTGGTAGCCAGGTGGAAAGCATGGCCAGCCGTAGCAAAATGCTTGTTGAAATTCTCGATTATTGTAGATTTATCGGTGGTGATAGTGTTTCCTAGCCTCAGTGCAGTGGGCAGCTGGGAGGAGGTGCTCTTATTCTCCATGGACTTTAGTGTCCCAAAACGTTTTGGAGTTAGTGCTACAGGATGCACATTTCTGTTTGAAAAAGCTAGCCTTTGCTTTCCTAACTGCTTGTGTATATTGGTTCCTAACTTCCCTAAAAAGTTGCATATCGCGGGGGCTATTTGATGCTAATGCAGTAAGCTACAGGATGTTTTTGTGCTGGTCAAGGGCAGTCAAGTCTGAGGAGAACTGTAGATAGCAATAAAAACTGTAATATACAGTGAGGGGAAAAAAGTATTTGATCCCCTGCTTATGTTGTATGTTTGCCCACTGACAAAGACATGATCAGTCTATACTTTTAATGGTAGGTTTATTTGAACAGTGAGAGACAGAATAACAACAAATAAATCCAGAAAAATGCATGTCAAAAATTTTATAAATTGATTTGCATTTTAATGAGGGAAATAAGTATTTGACCCCTCTGCCAAACATGACTTAGTACTTGGTGGCAAAACCCTTGTTGGCAATCACAGAGGTCAGACGTTTCTTGTAGTTGGCCACCAGGTTTGCACACATCTCAGGAGGGATTTTGTCCCACTGCTCTTTGCAGATCTTCTCCAAGTCATTAAGGTTTCGAGGCTGACGTTTGGCAACTCGAACCTTCAGCTCCCTCCACAGATTTTCTATGGGATTAAGGTCTGGAGACTGGCTAGGCCACTCCAGGACCTTAATGTGCTTCTTCTTTAGCCACTCCTTTGTTGCCTTGGCCGTGTGTTTTGGGTCATTGTCATGCTGCAATACCCATCCACGACCCATTTTCAATGCCCTAGCTGAGGGAAGGAGGTTCTCACCCAAGATTTGACGGTACATGGCCCCGTCCATCGTCCCTTTGATGCGGTGAAGTTGTCCTGTCCCCTTAGCAGAAAAACACCCCCAAAGCATAATGTTTCCACCTCCATGTTTGACGGTGGGGATGGTGTTCTTGGGGTCATAAGCAGAATTCCTCCTCCTCCAAACACGGCGAGTTGAGTTGATGCCAAAGAGCTCCATTTTGGTCTCATCTGACCACAACACTTTCACTCAGTTCTCCTCTGAATCATTCAGATGTTCATTGGCAAACTTCAGACGGGCCTGTATATGTACTTTCTTGAGCAGGGGGACCTTGCGGGCGCTGCAGGATTTCAGTCCTTCGCGGCGTAGTGTGTTACCAATTGTTTTCTTGGTGACTATGGTCCCAGCTGCCTTGAGATCATTGACAAGATCCTCCCGTTTAGTTCTGGGCTGATTCCTCACCGTTGTCATGATCATTGCAACTCCACAAGGAGAGATCTTGCATGGAGCCCCAGGCCGAGGGAGATTGACAGTTATTTTGTGTTTCTTCCATTTGCGAATAATCGCACCAACTGTTGTCAACCTCACCAAGCTGCTTGGCGATGGTCTTGTAGCCCATTCCAGCCTTGTGTAGGTCTACAATCTTGTCCCTGACATCCTTGGAGAGCTCTTTGGTCTTGGCCATGGTGGAGAGTTTGGAATCTGAGTGATTGATTGCTTCTGTGGACAGATGTATTTTATACAGGTAACAAACTGAGATTAGGAGCATTCCCTTTAAGAGTGTGCTCCTAATCTCAGCTCGTTACCTGTATAAAAGACACCTGGGAGCCAGAAATCTTTCTGATTGAGAGGGGGTCAAATACTTATTTCCCTCATTAAAATGCAAATCAATGTAACATTTTTGACATGCATTTTTCTGGCTTTTTTTGTTGTTATTCTGTCTCTCACTGTTCAAATAAACCTACCATTAAAATTATAGACTGATCATTTCTTTGTCAGTGGGCAAACGTACAAAATCAGCAGGGGATCAAATACTTTTTTCCCTCACTTTACCTGGGGTTCTCTCCACAACCTTGACAGAAACACATCTCTGTGTGTGGTGGCTGTTGGCCAGACGGTGTGGTGGTGTGTGGTAGGAGATGGTGGGTGAGAGAGAGCAGGGAGAGTGCCCTCTGTTTATAGAAGGCTGTCTATCTGTGGTGGGGGTGTGGGGCCCTGCTATTGTAGATAATAGGAGGTTGTGTGTGTGTGTGTGTGTAACACACACCGGGTGGGGTAGTGGAAGGGCTGGGACAGTTTTATGGGGAGTAGGCACTGGTAGGAAAGGTGGGGGCCTCTAGAGGGAGAGGAGGGGGAAGGAGGGGGGCATAGAGAGTGAGTGAGCGGGATGGATGGAGGAAGGTGGTGCATAGCAGGCGGGCACTGGTTCTGCCACATCCTCGCTGGACTGCAGGCAGAACACTGGCCACATTGTCTGGTCCTGTTCCCTCCCTCCCTGGAGCCAGCCAGAATCACCTCACCACTGCCCTGTCCACCAAGCCACAGAGAGCCTCAGTCGGACTCACTTTGCAGGGCCTATTCACCAAGTCACATTCACAACGGTTCACATAGAAATGTGTTTCATAAACCAGACATGACTTTCTAGCAGGTTGAATGAAGAATCATGTCTGGTCTACGTAATATATTTCTAACTGTAACAATGAATGATGTGAACATTTGAATAAGCCCCTGGCGTTTGTGTAATAGAGTCCGATGGGTTGATGTGAATGACAAAGCCTTCTACATATGATGTCTGTATATCCTGTTCATCATCAGTCTGTATATTCTGTTTATTGTGGCAGCACCATTTCACAAAGTCAAATTCCTGTGTACATGCAAATATTTTGGCGAATAAAGGTGATTCTGATTCATTCAAGCAAAGACAAAACCACATAATTAAGTCACCCATAACAAAAGCTTTTCTCATGAATCTAGTCAGCTAGACACAGTTCAGGAGGCATAGTCTGTATCAAACCTGAACTAAATTAAATGGATTATGGTATATTTGACAAGAGATACCTTATTTGGACCAATGGGAGAAAAGAAGTGAGATGCATATGGACAAGATAATATCACACAGGACCTTAGCAGGGCGGATGGCTATACACAAGGACTCATGTCTTACCATGTGCTACTGTGTTCTATCTCCAACTGCCTCAGAGAATGTTGCACATTCTTTCTGCTTTTGTAGGAAGCCTAGTAATTCAAATGTAAATGAGAATGTTTGTGAGGGGTGGATGAGTTTAGTAAAATTCAGCATCTTCTTAACCTGAAAAGTTGTACAAAATATACTTATTAGAGCAGAATGTGGGTTTGAATCATCTCTGAGTCAGTGGCCACGTTGATGTCATAACCTGTGAGACATGGGACTGGGGAGGTGTCCAAAGGGTGGTGTCATTATATGAAAACATTTTTACTGAGAGCGGACATCAAAAGCTGATGAGTTTTGCTCACATGGAAAAATAGATATGTTTTTCAGTTCAGATTAAAGAGAAAGAATGTAAACTAGAACATTAATCGTCAGCTCAAGTAACTAATTTCCTACCATGTAATCTGTTTTGATTTCAGGATCTAAACAGATCCACCAATGTAGTGTTCCAGGCCCACCAAGTGAGCCGGAGCAAGAGAGGCCAGGTGGTGGGCACCAGAGGAGGCTTCAGAGGCTGCACCGTCTGGCTCACAGGTAAACCGCTCATCATAGCCAAAACTCAATGGATTGTCACTATTACATGTTGCTATTACAGTCAAGTGTTACTAGTGACTTTAGTAATAATTATACTGTTGAGTATTAGCTAATCTCACCTGACATTCTCCATGTGTCCACCCCCAGGTTTGTCTGGCGCTGGGAAGACCACCATAGCCTTTGCCCTGGAGGAGTACCTGGTGTCTTACGGCATCCCCTGCTACTCACTGGACGGGGACAACATCCGCCACGGCCTCAACAAGAACCTGGGCTTCACAGCCACCGACCGCGAGAAGAACATCAGACGTATCGCAGAGGTGGCCAAGCTGTTCGCAGACGCTGGCCTCGTCTGCATCACCAGCTTCATTTCTCCTTACACAAAGGTCAGGGGTCATTCTGGGGAGTGTCTACCCATTTCCGCTGGTATTAGTGGTATTGTGTTGTGTAGAGAGTGTTCTGGTGCAAAATGGATGCCGTATATCAAGTATACTGTGTGTTACCATTGATAAAACAGCATTCTGACAATCCTGTTCCCCCTTCTCTTTTGTCTAAAGGATTGTGATCTTGTCAATCCAAGATGGCGTAGTAGTGCAGTTGTGTTTTTATCGTCTGTAAATACCCTATTTTTCGTACATATTTCCCTATCAGACTTTTCATCCTTCTACAAGATATACTTTCCTGCAACCCGCCTCACTCAATGTGGAACGGATTCTATTATTGACTTACCTTTATCTAGAATCTAGAATCTCCAGTTGAAACTAGCTAGCCAGCTAACTAGCTACTTGCTATTTGCTATTAGCCACAGCTAGCGGTGTTTCACCCAGAACATTGGATTTTTTTCTGCGGGATTAATTTTAATCACTGGACATTGATCACCGGATATTCGGCCAGTCTGCACAGCGCGTTATCGACCCAGAACATATCAGTTTTTTCCGCCGGAATCACTGAATCACTGGACCTTTAACTCCGGATTCATCGCTACCAGCTAGCTACCACCAGCCAGCTACAACAAAACGGACGCTGTGGTCTGGGTAATCATCCTGAGCTAGGCCCATCGCCCATCTCCCGGCTATCTACCTCTCTGTCAACCGGACGGGACCACCTAGTGTTGACACGGAGCCCCGCCGATCCTACACGACTGGTCTGCCGACGAAATCGTCTGATGTGGTTACGACGTTAACCACGAAGATTCCATCCATCTGCTAGCCCTGGCCCGCTAGCACACGCTAGCCGTGGCCTCTTACTAGTGCTTCACCACCGGACCTTATGATAACTCAGCTATACAGCTGATATCTGCTGGACTGTTCCTTTTTACGGTACTACATCCTGTTTATGTTTAGCCTCAGCCCAAACATGGTTAGTTTATTGTTGTTTCGGTTATTTCTAATTGTACTATATCACTGTAGACCCCCCAGCCTAGCTAAACCTGCCTTAGATAGCTCCTTTGCCCCTCCCCCTATACACGCGGAGACCGACTCAATTGATGCCTCCAGCGATGCTATCTCTTTCATTGTTACCCAACGCTTAGGTTTACCTCCACTTTACTCATATCCTTCCATATCCTTGTCTGTACATAATGCCCTGAATCTTTTCTATAACACCCGGAAATCTGCCCCCTTTATTCTATGTACCCAACGCACTAGAAGACCAGTTCTTAAAGCCTTTAGCCGTATCCTTATTCTAGTCCTCCTCTGTTCCTCTGGTGATGTAGAGGCTAACCCAGGCCCTGCAGCCCTCAGTATGACTCCTACTCCCCAGGCGCTATCATTTGATGACTTCTGTAATCGCAAAAGTCTTGGTTTCTTGCACATAAATATCAGAAGTCTACTTCCCAAGTTTGAGTTATTCACTGTGTTAGCACACTCTGCCAACCCTGATGTTCTAGCAGTGTCTGAATCCTGGCTCAGGAAGGCCACCAAAAATTCTGAAATTTCCATCCCCAACTATAACATTTTCCGTCTAGATAGAACTGCCAAAGGGGGTGGAGTTGCAATCTACTGTACAGATAGCCTGCAGAGCTCTATCATACTATCCAGGTCTGTGCCCAAACAGTTTGAGCTTCTACTTCTAAAAATCCACCTTTCCAGAAATAAGTCTCTCACTGTTGCCGCTTGCTACAGACCCCCCTCAGCCCCCAGCTGTGCCCTGGACACCATATGTGAATTGATTGCCCCCCATTTATCCTCAGAGTTTGTACTGCTTGGTGACCTAAATTGGGATATGCTTAATACCCCAGCCATCCTACAATCCAAGCTAGATGCCCTCAACCTCACGCAAATTATCAACGAACCTACCAGGTACAACCCTAAATCCGTAAACATGGGTACCCTCATAGATATCATCCTGACTAACATACCCTCTAAATACACCTCAGCTGTCTTCAACCAGGATCTCAGCGATCACTGCCTTATTGCCTGCGTCCGTAACGGGTCCGCGGTCAAACGACCACCCCTCATCACTGTCAAACGCTCCCTAAAACACTTTAGCGAGGAGGCCTCCCTAATTGACCTGGCCCAGGTATCCTGGATGGATATAGATCTCATTCCGTCAGTAGAAGATGCCTGGTTGTTCCTTAAAAGTAATTTCCTCTCGATCTTAAATAAACATGCCCCATTCAAAAAATACAGAACTAAGAACCGATATAGCCCCTGGTTCTCCTCAGACTTGACTGCCCTTGACCAGCACAAAAACATCCTGTGGCGTACAGCATTAGCATCAAATAGCCCCCGCGATATGCAACTTTTCAGGGAAGTTAGGAACCAATATACACAAGCAGTCAGGAAAGCAAAGGCTAACTTTTTCAAACAGAAATTTGCATCCTGTAGCACTAACTCCAAAAAGTTTTGGGACACTGTAAAGTCCATGGAGAATAAGAGCACTTCCTCCCAGCTGCCCACTGCACTGAGGCTAGGAAACACTATCACCACCGATAAATCTACAATAATCGAGAATTTCAACAAGCATTTTGCTACAGCTGGCCATGCTTTCCATCTGGCTACCACTAACCCGGCCACCAACTCTGCACCCTCTGCTGCAACTTGCCCATGCCCCCCCCCGCTTCTCCTTCACACAAATTCAGACAGCTGATGTTTTGAAAGCGCTGCAAAATCTGGACCCCTACAAATCAGCTGGGCTAGACAATCTGGACCCTTTCTTTCTAAAACTAGCCGCCCGAAATTGTCGCTACCCCTATTACTAGTCTGTTCAACCTCTCTTTCATAACGTCTGAGATCCCCAGAGATTGGAAAGCTGCCGCGGTCATCCCCCTCTTCAAAGGGGGTGACACTCTAGATCCAAATTGCTACAGACCTATATCCATCCTGCCCTGCCTTTCGAAAGTATTCGAAAGCCAAGGTTAACAAACAGATCATCGACCATTTCGAATACCACCGTACCTTCTCCGCTATGCAATCCGGTTTCCGAGCTGGTCACGGGTGCACTTCAGCCACGCTCAAGGTCCTAAACGATATTATAACCGCGATTGATAATAGACAGTACTGTGCAGCCGTCTTCATCGACCTGGCCAAGGCTTTCGACTCTGTCAACCACCGCATTCTTATTGGCAGACTAAATAGCCTTGGTTTCTCAAATGACTGCCTCACCTGGTTCACCAACTACTTCTCAGATAGAGTTCAGTGTGTCAAATCGGAGGGCCTGTTGTCTGGACCTATGGCAGTCTCTATGGGGGTGCCACAGGGTTCAATTCTTGGGCCGACACTTTTCTCCGTGTATATCAATGATGTCGCTCTTGCTGCTGGTGACTCTCAGATCCACCTCTACGCAGACGACACCATTTTGTATACATCTGGCCCTTCATTGGACACTGTGTTAACAAACCTCCAAACGAGCTTCAATGCCATACAACAATCCTTCAGTAGCCTCCAACTGCTCTTAAACACTAGTAAAACTAAATGCATGCTTTTCAATCTAACGCTGCTGGCACCCGCCCACCCGACTAGAATCACCACTCTCGACGGGTCTGACCTAGAGTATGTGGACAACTACAAATACCTAGGTGTCTGGTTAGACTGTAAACTCAACTTCCAGACTCACATAAAGAATATCCAATCCAAAGTTAAATCTAGAATCGGCTTCCTATTTCGCAACAAAGCCTCCTTCACTCATGCTGCCAAACATGCCCTCGTAAAACTGACTATCCTACCGATCCTTGACTTCGGCGATGTCATTTACAAAATAGCCTCCAACACTCTACTCAGCAAATTGGATGTAGTCTATCACAGTGCCATCCGTTTTGTCTCCAAAGCCCCATACACTACCCACCACTGTGACCTGTACGCTCTTGTTGGCTGGTCCTCACTACATGTTCGTCGTCAAAACCCACTGGCTCCAGGCCATCTATAAATCACTGCTAGGCAAATCCCCGCCTTATCTTAGCTCATTGGTCACCATAGCAGCACCCACCCGTAGTCTGCGCTCCAGCAGGTATATCTCACTGGTCATTTCCAAAGCCAACACCTCCTTTGGCCGCCATTCCTTCCAGTTCTCTGCTGCCAATGACTGGAACGAATTGCAAAAATCTCTGAAGCTGGAGACTCTTATCTCCCTCAATAACTTTAAGCATCAGTTGTCAGAGCACCTTACCGATCACTGCACCTGTACACAGCCCATCTGAAATTAGCCCACCCAACTACCTCATCCCTATATTGTTATTTATTTTGCTCTTTTGCACCCCAGTATCTCTATTTGCACATAATCTCTTGCACATCTAGCATTCCAGTGTTAATACTATTGTAATTATTCTGCACTATAGCCTATTTATTGCCTTACCTCCATAACTTGCTACATTTGCACACACACTATATATATTTTCTGTTGTATTTCTGACTTTATGTTTTTTACCCCATATGTAACTCTGTGTTGTTTTTTATTGCACTACTTTGCTTGATCTTGGCCAGGTCGCAGTTGTAAATGAGAACCTGTTCTCAACTGGCTTACCTGGTTAAATAAAGGTGAAATAAAAATTAAAAAAAATCCTTGAGAGGGCTGGTTTACCCTTCTTTGAGGTGTTCATCAACGCTCCTCTGGATGTGTGTGAGAGTCGCGATGTGAAGGGCCTCTACAAGAAAGCCTGTGCTGGAGAGATCAATGGTACAAACAACTTTTGGTCCATTGTTTACATTTTGGTATCCAGACATCGAAATGTAACTTCTTATTGTAAGGTTCCTTTCTATCTGAAAGAGTCAATCTTACATCCTTTTTGGAAAGGAATTCTAATGGATAAACCTGTGTTCTCAGGCTTCACTGGGATCGACGCAGAGTACCAGTGGCCCGACGTTCCAGAGTTGGTACTGAAAAACAGGAGAGATCACAGTAAACGAGTGCATCCGGCAGGTGGTGGACCTGCTTAAAGAGCAGGTGAACATGACAGACTGCTTACCTATTATCCCAGCTCATCTAGCGCTAAACTACAAAAAGTAAAGAGTGGGAAATGGAATTGACCACAAACCTAGCTTATAAAATATCAAGACAAAACAAAACAAAACAGAACTTATCAAAAGATGCTGAACAAAACTACCAAAGTTATAACTGCAAGTGCATACGCTCTTAGAAAAGAAGGTTCCAATAGGGTTCTTCAGCTGTCCTCATAGAACGTGTTTTGGTTCAAGGTAGAACCCAAAAGGGTTCTACCTGGAACCAAAAAGGGTTCTTCAGTGGGTTATCCTATGTGGACAGCCAAAGAACCCTTTTAGGTTCTAGATAGCACCTTTTTTTCTAAGAGAGTACAAACCACTTGGGATCTATGTTATCCTCACTTGACATTGTCCTCTCTCTCTGTAACTGTTCAGAGTATTGTTCCAAGTGGAATCACGGAGGAGGTGAATGAACTCTTTGTTCCGGAGAACAAGCTGAAGCTGGCTCAGGCTGACTCTAGCACACTTTCCACCATCAGAATCACCAAGGTAACACACCTCTCCACTACCAATCGGCCCAAATGGCCATGGCTCAATATTTGACTGGATGGCAGACTGTGCTCATGATTGCCTCTTAATCTCTCTCTTCTGGATTGTACTATATGTTCTAATAGACTGGGCTGATTGCCCTAGGTTTGAAAATCAAGTCATGTCAAACATAGTAGGAGCTACAGTATATCACATTAAATTAGTTAGATGAAAAGTCTTACGCTGCACTATCTCGGTTTCCATCACAAACTGTTTCTCATTCAGCATGGTTTCCTGTGGACTCTGTCACCCCTGATAGCTGTCAATATTTCTTACATACAGTATCAGCTGTTAAGGGATATTTTTAACGGTCAGGTAAATTGAATCCTAACCTGTTTGATGTATATTCTCACCTGTCTGTCCTGTTCAGTTGGACCTCCAGTGGATGCAGGTGCTGGCCGAGGGCTGGGCCACACCACTGATGGGCTTCATGAGGGAGAGGGAGTTCCTCCAGGTGCAGCATTTCGGCAACCTCCTTGATAGCAAGAACCACACACACACCCTTATAATACATCATAACATTACTCAGTCAATTCTTACTCTCCCCTCTATTCATAATGGAGCAAATGACAGTAGATGGATATGATATATGGTTGTCTCTAATTGTTTTCCTGACCATGTGACTATAGCCAATAACCAGGGCCCTGAGTTTTTGCTTGGTAAGTTCACATGGTCAGCACAAACTCATGGCCCTAGTCATCACACACGTATCTTTCCCTGGTTCAGATGGCACCATCAACCAGTCCATTCCAATCGTCCTGCCTGTTACCACGGAGACCAAGCAGCGACTGGACGGTTGTGTGGCAGTAGCTCTGGAGTTCCAGGGAACCCGCGTGGCCATTCTGAGACAGCCAGAGTTCTATGAACATCGCAAGGAGGAGCGCTGTGCCCGTCAGTGGGGCACCACCTGCCCCCAGCACCCCTACATTAAGGTTGTCACCAACCACACACTTCCATGCATTGTTTTTTAGCAAACATAGATGTCCTTTGATGTGATAAAGCTACACTCTGTGCACATTCTTGTGCATACGAATTCCAAGCTATAATGGAGTTGAATGAAGTTGCACTTGAACTTTAACTTGAACTTGAATGTGCATGTGACATGCTATCCATATCCATCGTGAAATATATTGATATTATCAGTGTTTTGCATTAGCGCTGGCTGTTGGCTAATCAGCCGGTTACAGACTCATTTTCAGCTGGCAACTTTTTCCACTTCATATTAAAACTAGGCTACTTTTCATTTCTACGTTTCAATTCACTAGTCCGTCGAGCCATCTCCCGCTAGAATGAATGATTTTCATCTTCTAGCGATCTATTGATAGGATAGGTGCCTGTCAGTCACAAAGCGAGTGATGACAGGGAAACACAGTCTGCTTTCTGTCTCACCTCCCGGTACACTTTGTGTGCTGTGGTTGATTGCAGTCGAATTTCTTTACACAGAGGGAGAGAGCATGATGCTTGTGAATTTGCACGTCCCATGTAATGTAGGTGGTAACGATGAGTCGAAATCCACGACTTAGACTAATTATTGTTTTCTGGCACATTATTTTATTTTATTTTGCATGTTTCACATAGCCAGCCACACAGAGTCGTGGCGCATAGTAGGCTATTTACTGTGCTGTGATTGACAACTGAAGAGCAAGTGTGACTAGTTTATAAAAGGAGTCAAACTGATCTCCTATATCCCTTTGCCGTTCATAAATCATGCAACGTGGTATATGTCCATGGTATCGCATCAGGACAATTAAACCAAAGGATTTCCTAGGTTCCTTTCCTAGGATGTAGGGGCTTGCCAGACAATGACGCTAAAGTGAGTGACTCTCGTCTCGTCAGTCAGTGTAGCCTACCGATCCGCATTGGTGAGAGAGCTGTTCGTTTGGCTCTCTAATTTTGGTAGGCTTTTTGGCGATTATCTGCAGATAAATTATTAAAAAACATTCTATGAAGATGGTGAATCATCACTGCAGGAATAGGTAGTGGAGAGCCTCATTCTAGTCCAAATATGATAATTAGGGCCCTCACGGAATCGAGGCATTAAAATGGAATTCAACAATATTAAGAACTTTATTGACCTTAGTAGGAATCCATTCAATGTATTGAAAATTAATTAATTTGCCGAAGTTTATTATAAGACATGAACAGAATGCATAAGTGATTTGTGTTTCTTGCAACTTTGAAGAAGAGGCAAAGATAATGCCCCTGTCTGTGTGTGTGCGGTGCGTGTGTCTACCACTTTTTGTGTAGCCGTTAGCGATGATGCTAATGAAAACAGTTTTCTGGTAGATGGAAGGCTTCTCAATTGTTAACTACAAATTAGCTTTTATTACCTGGCAGAATGATATCATGACTTTTTTCATAAATCCAGTGGGTATTTGTTTTGCAAAACTCTACATCACATGTGCGCTACAAAAACACAGCTAAACACTGCCTCTTAGTAGGTGCTCCGTTGAATTAAAGTTAATGAAAGTGGTCTATTGATGTGGTTTAAGCATTGTAGTGAACATCCAATGTTGTTGTTTTTCTACTCAAAAGGTGTGATTTTGAGAACGAAAACCTGAAAAACAATTGGAAAAAACAGAAACCTGAAAAAAACAAAACCTTTAATTTATTTTTAAAGATAATGTAGGCTATTTACTTAATTGTTCTGTTTTAATAAAATGCCTAATTTGAAGAACAAACATCAAATAGGACTTTAATCTAAAGAGAAGACAGGTGAAATGTAATACAAATCTTTCATATTCTCTTACATAGAAAATAGACCGGAATTTTTCAGTAATTTAAATTGTAAAGTTATATCTTTCTACACAATACCACGACAAATGTTTCCAATCTGGGAGATAAACTCGATAAAGTAAACAATAATTTCACTGTGTATTTCATATGGAATCAAGGCATTAGAATGTACCAGAAGCCACCAAAATAGCACTCCTTCTGCAAAAAAAAATTGAACCCAGGGGGGCAAGATCCCCCAGGGGCCTGGCTGGCTACTTTTTCTATTTAGCTGGCTACTCAATGTAGTTGTGGAAAACACTGTATTATGTCATTCATATCTCTACAACATCCACCACCTTTTACAGATGGTGATGGAGGGTGGTGATTGGCTGGTGGGTGGTGACCTGGAGGTGCTGGAGCGAATCAGATGGAACGATGGGCTGGACTAGTACCGCTTTACTCCACGGGAGCTCAAGCAGAAGTTTAAATAAATGAAAGCAGGTTAGAAGAGTTCCTCTAAAAAACAGGACAAGGATACAAAATCTACATTTGATTAAATATTATGTCTAAATAAATGAAGGTTTATGTCTAGCTACAGAAACTTTTATAATTTGTTCAGAAGCACTTGACAAAGACCAGATGCAAAAAGTAGCATGATAAATTACATGCCACAGGCACCTTAATTGGGGAGGACGGGCTTGTGGTAATAGCTGGAGTGGAATAGTGTCAAATACATCAAAGACATGGTCTCCATTCCATTTGCTTCGTTCCGGACATTATTATGAGCCATCCTCCTCTCAGCACCTCCACTGTTACATGCGCATGGTTTAATTTATTGTTTGCACTAGATGGAGACATAATCCTCTATGTGAGACGTTAAAGACTGTATAGTCATGAGTGAACTGTTGTGCGCACATTTCCACCCTATGATATCTGCACTCACACTGTGTTGACTATTTTTGACCTGCGTTCATTCATTTATCCACAAGTTATGTGCATACAAGTTATGTGCATACCAAAATGCATACAAAGCTCCAGCATGACTTCACTTGTACATTTACACAATGAGACCACAGTATGCAAATGATGAACAGAATGCAAATTATGTTTGATTTGTCCTCTTTTTATCAACCACTTACCAACAATTAGTATGAAAGTCCTCACTGAAGTTATGCCACGTTCAAAACAACTGGGAACTCTGAATTCTCCGACTTCCGACTTCAGTGTGTTCAAGACAACTAGGAGCTCGGGGGGGGGGGGGGGAAACAAGCTCCGACTGGGAAAATCAAGTCGGAAACTCTGGCATCTTTCTCCAACTTCCCGACCTGAAAATCACTGATGTCATGATTTGACCTAATTTTTCATTTGTGTTCCCAGTTGTCTTGAAAGCACCAATAATTCCTTATCTTTCTCCTATTCTCCATGACCATCAGATGCCATCTTCGCCTTCCAACTGCGGAACCCGGTCCACAACGGCCACGCCCTGTTGATGCAGGACACCAAGCAACGTCTCTTGGAGAAGGGGTTACAAGCGACCTGTCCTCTTGCTGCACCCGCTCGGGGGCTGGACCAAAGACGACGACGTGCCTCTGGACTGGCGCATAAAACAGCACGCTGCAGTACTGGAGGAGGGGGTACTGGACCCCACCAGCACCATAGTGGCTATTTTCCCCTCCCCCATGATGTATGCTGGACCCACTGAAGTACGAGTCAACACAGCCATCAACACATTCATAGGTTTTGTGTGTTGTATGTTTAGCCAGGGATATTATTCAGTATTTAGTCAGTTACAGTAAGTAAACCCCCCTTTGGCTAGGCAGGTGATGTCCCTGTAGGGCTGGAAAATCCTACAGTGTTAGCCCAGCACTAAGGTTAACAAGTTTAAGACCATAATGTGTGTGCTTACTGTATGTGTGAGCATACATTTGTTTTTCTGTCAGGTCCAGTGGCACTGCAGGGCCAGGATGATCGCCGGAGCTAACTTCTACATTGTGGGTCGTGACCCAGGGGGCATGCCCCACCCAGAGACCAAGCAGGACATTTATGAGCCCAGCCATGGGGGTAAGGTCCTCACCATGGCCCCCGGCCTGACCTCTGTAGAGATCATCCCCTTCAGAGTGGCCGCCTACAACAAGACCAAGAGGGTCATGGATTTATACGACGAGGACCGGTGAGCAGATGTTAAACATTGATTATGGCTTTTGTAATGCATATTTACAGATTATTTTATACAGAGCCTGTGGTGGGAAATGTGTGTCAAAGAATCTTCAAAAGCGGGCACCCCTGATCATTTTCCTTCTGTCTCTCTCTTTATTTCTCATCTCCATCCATCTCTCTTTCCCTCCTCTGCCTTTCCCAGACACGCTGAGTTTGAGTTCATCTCAGATACCAGGATGAGAAAGCTGGCACGGAGTGGGGAGAACCCCCCAGATGGCTTCATGGCCACAAAGGCCTGGAAGGTCCTGATGGAGTACTACAGCTCTCTACAGAGGGACCAGTAACCCAAAATACCAGAGCTCTTAGAAGGGCCACAATTTTAGTCCCTGAGGAATGTTCTAGTTTGATGTTATCTGCAAGTCATACACTTAGTGTACAAAACATTAGGAACACCTTCCTAATATTGAGTTGCACACTCTTTTGCCCTCAGAACAGCCTCAATTCGTCGGGGCATGGACTCTACAAGGTGTCGAAAGCGTTCCACAGGGATGCTGGCCCATGTTGACTCCAATGCTTCCCACTGTTGTGTCAAGTTGGCTGGATATCCTTTGGGTGGTTAACCATTCTTCATACACAAAGGAAACTGTTGAGTGTGAAAAACCCAGCAGCGTTGCAGTTCTTAACACATTTAAACTGGTGTGCCTGGCACCTACTACCATACCCAGTTCAAAGGCACTTAAATATTTAGTCTTGCCCATTCACCCTCTGAATGGCACACATACACAATCCATGGCTTAAAAATCCTTCTTTAACCTGTCTCCTCCCCTTCATCTACACTGATTTAAGTGGATTTAACAAGTGACATCAATAAGGGATCATAGGTTTCACCCGGATTCACCTGGTCAGACTATGTCATTAAAAGAGCAGGTGATCTTGATGTTTTGTACACTCAGTGTAGGTTTCATTTCATTATCATGGTAGATGATTCAGTGAGTAAGTAGTCCAATAATGACTGAAATCACACCAAGCAGTCCTGGAGGATTGGAGCTGTGTGCCCATCTTCATTGAAGGAAAACCATGTGATGTTGTAGGAGCCAGTGGTTGGGTTTAAGCAGTGAAATCATTCCTATGTGTGTCTATCTGTAAATCCATATATATACAGTGAGGGAAAAAAGTATTTGATCCCCTGCTGATTTTGTACGTTTGCCCACTGACAAAGACATGATCAGTCTATAATTTTAATGGTAGGTTTATTTGAACAGTGAGAGACAGAATAACAACAAATAAATCCAGAAAAACGCATGTCAAAAATGTTATAAATTGATTTGCATTTTAATGAGGGAAATAAGTATTTGACCCCTCTGCAAAACATTACTTAGTACTTGGTGGCAAAACCCTTGTTGGCAATCACAGAGGTCAGACGTTTCTTGTAGTTGGCCACCAGGTTAGCACACATCTCAGGAGGGATTTTGTTCCACTCCTCTTTGCAGATCTGTAAGTAAGCATTTCACTGTAATGTCTGCACCTGTTGTATTCGGCGCATGTGACCAATAAAATTTGATTTGATTTGATTTGATTTGAGATCTTCTCCAAGTCATTAGGTTTCGAGGCTGATGTTTGGCAACTCGAACCTTCAGCTCCCTCCACATATTTTCTATGGGATTAAGGTCTGGAGACTGGCTAGGCCACTCTAGGACCTTAATGTGCTTCTTCTTGAGCCACTCCTTTGTTGCCTTGGCTGTGTGTTTTGGGTCATTGTCATGCTGGAATACCCATACACGACCCAGGGAAGGAGGTTCTCACTCAAGATTTGACGGTACATGGCCCTGTCCATCGTCCCTTTGAGATGGGAGAGGCAGGACTTGCAGCGCATTGAGCGTTGTTTCCTGCTTGCACTCTACCCACACACTCACACATACTTACACTGACACCCCAACACAAACACACACACACACATTACATACGCGCACATGCATACTGACGCCTCACACACACACACTTTAACACTCACCACATACGCTGCTGCTACAGCTCCACATACTATTATCTATCCTGTTGCCTAGTCACTTTACCCCTACCTATATGTACATAGCTACCTCAATTACCTCGTACACCTGCACATTGACTCGGTACTGACACTCACTGAATATAACCATGTTATTTTTTACTCGTTATTGTTATTTGTTATTCACTGTGTATTTATTCCTTGTCACTGTTTCTATTTTCTATTTTTCTTTAACTCTGCATTGTTGGAAAAGGACCTGTAAGTAAGCATTTCACTGTTAGTCTCCACCTGTTGTTTACAAAGCATGTGACAAATACAATTTGATTTGATTTCACATGTTATGAATCACATTTTCTTCAGTGAGACGATTTACATGTCCACATTTATGATCCACATGAATGAGAACATGAATAATTGGGCTAAAGAACTTACATATCAGTAATACATATCAGTATAACAAACTGATGAATTAACAACAATGACAAGCAATGGTTTTATGGACCCTCTTTTAGATCCTAAATGCATTATGAATGGTATATTATGTTCATTTGTAGACAAAGTCAATAAACTGATTTAAAAAACTGAGTTAATGAGTTAACAAAGTTAACCTAGTAGATTAATTGGATACATTTAAAATTACCCGATACTCAGAGCGATAGTCCAATGTTAAGTTGCGGTATGGGCTTATGTTGCTATGAGATGAGTGTTCTCCCATGTAGAGGAACGGCCTCCCTTTTAGTAGTTAGGGCCCAGTGCCAGGAAAACTGACATTTTGTCCAGTCAAAGGTTTCTCAGTGGATTATGCTTGTTAATTCACTACTCTTGCAATTAAGCTTATGGGCCACCCTGGATTTTGCCCCAAAACTAATATGGCGGCCAAAATACAATATGGTTTCCGTAATTCCAAAGATTATATGATAACTAACCCAAGATAGGACATATGGTGCTTTTATAATGGAAACCACTGTTACACAGTCAGCAGAACAAGCAAGTTCAAGTTTCAAGTTTTAGTAGTCGTACAGTATGTATGGGATACACATGGTATACACCGTCCAACGAAATGATTACTTGCAGGTTCCTTCTCGACAATGCAACAACAATAATAAATATAAAAGATAAGAATACAAAAATAAAGTAAATGGCTCAGTAGAATAGAATAAACATTTTAGCATAAGTATAGTACAGGAAGACACAATTTATAGTCCAATATTTATACGTGTTTTTGGGGGAAGGGGGGATTGAGGGGAGGCAAATTGGAGTGGGTCCAGTGTGCCTGGCATGCAGGCCTTCATGTGGGCCATGACCAGCCTCTCAAAGTACTTCATGATGACAGGAGTGAGTGCTACGGGGTGATAGTAATTTGGGTATGTCACCTTGTTTTTCTTGGGCACTGGGACAATGGTGGTCTCTTTGAAGCAGGTGGGTACTACAGCCTGGGACAGGGACAGGTTGAAGATGTCTGAGAAGATGCCTGCCAGCTGGTCAGCACACATTCTGAGGACAGGGCTAGGGATGCCATCTGGGCCGGCTGCTTTGTGAGTATTCACTCTTTTGAGAGTTTTCCTCACGTCAGCCTCAACAAACGAAAGCACCTGGTCGCCAGGAGCAGCGAGAGTCTTCCTGGATGGCTTGGTATTGTCTGAGTCAAAGCGAGCATATAATGTGTTAAGCTCATCTGGGAGGGAAGTTTTGGTGGGCACCACACAGCTGGATTTGCCTTCGTAGTCCGTGATAGTCTGTAGTCCTTGGCACATGCGTCGTGAGTCTGAGTTGTCGAACATCAATTCAAGTTTGAGTCTGTATTGTCTTTTTGCGTCCCTAATGGATTTGCGGAGCTAGTACCTGTTTGCATCGCGTTGCCCTCCACGAGTCATTGGGGTTCGTTCAGCTGACATTGAACGGGGCTCTCAGTATGGTACAGATATCTCCGTTCATCCAGGGTTTTTGGTTAAGGTATGGCAGCAATTTTTTTTTACATTTACATTTACATTTTAGTCATTTAGCAGACGCTCTTATCCAGAGCGACTTACATATTATTATTATTTTATACTGGCCCCCTGTGGGAATCGAACCCACAACCCTGGCGTTGCAAACACCATGCTCTATCAACTGAGCTACATCCCTGCCGGCCATTCCCTCCCCTACCCTGGACGACGCTGGGCCAATTGTGCGCCGCCCATGAGTCTCCCGGTCGCGGCCGGCTGCGACAGAGCCTGGATTCGAACCAGGATCTAGTGGCACAGTTTTGCACTACGATGCAGTGCCTTAGACCACTGCGCCACTCAGGAGCAGTGGTCTTTTTATTAGTATTTATTTTATTAACCCATCCACTAGCCCCCTCTTCGGAGGACAAAAATAACTTTGTTTTGTTTTGCAGCTTTTTTGTTACATATATAGTGTGCATACATTTTACATATTACATATACATTTTACATACATTACCAGTCAAAAGTTTGGACACACATACTCATTCAAGGGTTTTTCTTTATTTTTACTATTTTTTACATTGTAAAATAATAGTCAAGACATCGAAACTATGAAATAACATATATGGAATCATGAAGTAACCAAAAAAGTGTTAAACAAATCAAAATATATTTTATATTTGAGATTCTTCAAATAGCCACCCTTTGCCTTGATGACAACTTTGCACACTCTTGGCATTCTCTCAACCAGCTTCATGAGGTAGTGTGGGCACCGTTTGTCACCGTTATAATTTAGTTTATTTAATGTATTGTTTAGTTTTGTGTTGTGTAGTGGCTTCGCTGGCATTCATCTAAATTACAATTAGTTGAGTTTGCCCCACGAAGATTTACTGTACATGCTAAAATCGCAACTAAGAATGGGGGCCACAGATAAACATGAACAAAGGCTCCAAAAACACCCAAATACATATTTTTATCCGCAAAACTCTATTTGATTTTGTTGGACTCGAGCGATGCATTTCCGTGTGCGAGCATGTATGTGCTTTCTCATTCCCATTGTGGTGAAATGAGAAAATAGAAAGTACGCGCATGCTCGCACACGGAAATGTATCGCACGAGTCCAACAAAATGGAATACAATATTGAGGATAAAGTCAAAATTATGCAATTTCATGTGTACAACATCTAAAGACCTGCATTTCTCAAAACCAAGTGAAATCGCAAAAAAAGTTTCTGGACACTTCTATAACATGACATTTACATAACAAACAGAGATTTGTTTTAAGAAAAAGTGAACTTGTCCTTAAACCTCATCTACGCCTCTTACTTTTTTCAGTCTTTACTAACGACATGCCACTGGCTTTGAGTAAAGCCAGTGTGTCTATGTATGCGGATGACTCAACACTCTACACGTCAGCTACTACAGCAACTGAAATGACTGCAACACTTAACAAAGAGCTGCAGTTAGTTTCAGAATGGGTGGCAAGGAATAAGTTAGTCCTAAATATTTCACAAACTAAAAGCATTGTATTTGGGACAAATCATTCACTAAACCCTAAACCTCAACTAAATCTTGTAATAAGTAATGTGGAAATTGAGCAAGTTGAGGTGACTAAACTGCTTGGAGTAACCCTGGATTGTAAACTGTCATGGTCAAATCATATTGATACAAACAGTAGCTAAGATGGGGGAGAAGTCTGTCCATAATAAAGCACTGCTTCTACCTTCTTAATGTCAAGGGGTGCTGAAGGTGGGTGTGGTGCATGAATCAAGCGCAGGACGCAGAAGCTCAGTCCAAAAGACTTTAGTGCAATATTCACTTAGAAAATAAGCACAAATAAGCCCGAAGGCGAAATAACGGCGCACAACAGGCGTCAAACAAACGGCGCACTAACATGTGCGAAAAACCTCTCCAAAAAACACTGGAGGGAAGTACGTAGCTCCAACACAAAACAGAAGAGCAATCACACACAAAGACAAACACACACCAACGAGAACTAAATAGGACACTAACGAGGACTAACAAGACACAGATGTACAACATCAAGACAAAACCAAACGAACATGAAACATAGATCGGTGGCAGCTAGTACTCCGGGGACGACGACCGCCGAAGCCTGCCCGAACCAGGAGGAGGAGCAGCCTCGGCCGAAACCGTGACAGTACCCCCCCCCCTTGACACGCGGTGCGCCGACCCCGGCCTGGGGACGACCAGGAGGACGCAGAGCAGGGCGCGCGGATGGTCCCGGTGGAACTCGACAGGAGAGATGGTCTAGGATGTCCCTCCGCGGCACCCAGCACCGCTCCTCCGGGCCG